TTTAAATATGTATTATTTTACCAAATAATTGTGCAAATTGTTAAAGAAAAATCTGCTTGCAGAAACAAAAGAGGAATATTTGTCTAAGGATACAAAAACACAATTAATAAAAGTGGAACTTAAATTAGTAAACAAATAGGGAAAGGTGAATCCTCATTAATAACCAAGAAATGCACATTTTAAATAGATAGCATTTTCTAACTAATGAAATCAGCAGAATCTTGAAGAATCCTTCCCTCCTCTCACTAAGGATTAATGAGAATTAAAATGGATATGCTGATGAATTGCTGGTAACATAGTAAACCTGTCCCTGATGTAAGTTTAGTATATTTAAACCTTCGAAAATTTGATATAAGCCATGAGCCCTTTTTCTAGGAAAAATATACATGCACATATACTCAAAATTTGGAAGCCTATTTCCTAGGAGTCTGTAGACTCCAGAATAAAAAAATTCTGCTGCAAATAAAAATTGTTAAACCTTTCTACTGTTTTAATTATTTGTTTGATAAGCCTTCCAAATAAAAATACCTAGTTCAAGTCTTAACATTTCATACCTAAGTTACATTTTTTCTTTCATTTTTAGGAAGTACATCTCAGAATCTTGATTCTGGAACAGATTTGTCCTTCCCATGGATTCTGAATGTACTTAATTTAAAAGCCTTTGATTTTTACAAAGTGATTGAAAGTTTTATCAAAGCAGAAGCCAACTTGACAAGAGAAATGATAAAACATTTAGAACGATGTGAACATCGAATCATGGAATCCCTTGCATGGCTCTCAGTAAGTAACTAGCTGAAAAAATTAAAGATATTCATATGCATATGGCTGACGAATTATCTGTTTGTGAGAGGTGTTTCTTAACATCTACCTCAAGAGCAAATATGCAATTTTAATGAATACAAAAAATCAAGTGGAATAATAGAATGGAGTTTTATTTGAGCTCTCCAGACCATCTAATACAGCATAGTGATTTATGTAGGAATAGCTTTTCTTAAAACATAGCACTTTAAAACAAAGCAGAATTCTTTACAGTATTTAGGTAATTTATTTAAAATACAGGTGTTCTATTTGAAAATGTAAATATCTGCTCTTAAATTTCAACAAAATAAACATTTTGAGATAATGCTATTTAGATGATTAAAAAGTACATTTTTTTCTTGTTAAATTAAGTAGGACTTATTTTGTCCCATTATTAAAGACAGTGCAAGAATCTACACTATTGTTTAGTTATAGGTACTGTTTCAAGCATTATAGGAGCACAAATCATATTCTCTAGGTTCTGTTTATAACATATAAGCTATTGATAAGGCTTTTGTTTTAATAAAGGTGGCATTTCCTGCGTAATAATAGTAAAATATTTATTTGAAGTTCTGTTATGCTTTTTAAATCTGCATAGTTGGATAATACCTTGTGAATCATCAGATTTGTAGATTAATAGTTTCTTTTGAAACTGTGTTGCATACTACATAGATATCTTTTAATTTGTATCGGTATATAGAAATGGTAATAAAGAAAATTCAGACTTCAGAATCCTTCAGACTTTAGAATCCTAATCTGCACATATAACCTTAGGTTTAATTTTTTGATGTTTTAAATATCTAACGAATAAGAGATAATGTATTTTAGTGTTTTCTTATATTACCATATGACTGAGTGGATAGAGGAGAGAAGTATGGGAAGCTGATAGAAAGACCTTGCATTGAATTTGCTGACTACTTACAGAACAAACTTCTACTTGGTTAAAAAAAGGAGTGGGTAGAAGAAAACTTTCTGGATCTTGGGGATTAAATGAAAGTAACAAAAAATAAATAGATAAATAAATAAAATAAGCACATAGAGTACTTTTCAGAAGCTTGTGTCCTCCCAGAAATTGAAATCAAGACATTACTCTTTCGTCTGAAGGTGACTATTCTTTTTTTTTTTTTTTAGAGAATTAATTTTATTTCCATTATTGAACATTTGCTGTGTGCCTTGCATTCGGTTAGCCATTGTGAGGTTACAAAAAAGACAAAGGCCCTGAAAATTGTGGAGGAAGTAATAGAAATTTACTGTTTAAAAATTCGTTTATACTCAAGCCTGTTAGCTCAGTTACTGACATTCATGGCTTATAAACAATATTCCTTTATTTTTGAGAATTTTTGGAGCAAAAGTAGGGAGCCCAAACTTGGGAAAACAGTATAATTTATTTATGATGGGATGATGTGGAAGTCACAAAGCTCTGAATTTAAATTCTAAATGTGGTTTCTCTGGCAAAAACTATAGAGGACTTTTATTTAGTCATATATTTTTAATGTTTGGATTTTATATTGCTATTTTAATCATAAAAAACTAGAGTGGTAGTGAGCAACTTTGTGAAAATAGGTCATGCCACCCAAGCAGTATACTGTGTATTTTTTCTGTGAGAATAATTGGCATTATAGAGAAGGGACATGGCATAGATACAGTTGAGCTTTCACAGATGTGGTTTTTTTTTTTTTTATTGAAGTATAACATATAGACATATATACATCTCAGGTGACAGCTTGATGAAATTTTCTACAAATTGAACATACCCATGTAACCAAAACCCAGATCAAGGCCCAGAGCAAGCTTTCATAGTCTTTTGATTCTCTATCACCATAAAAATGTGTCATTAAAACTGTAGAGTGGTGAGAACATATGCACACAGTGTTGTTGACTGAAACATCAAGTGAGGTACTACTTACTTCCACCTCCATTAATTTAATGAAAGAATATCATTGTACTTTTAGTGATTGTGTGGGGAAACGGGCTCAGCATTTTTGTTTGACAGTCTTGAGAAATAATAAACCAAGAAGGAAAAAGCACACTTCTGTTTCTTTT